CTATCTCTCTATGTCTATCTCTTACCCTCTTACACTATTATTCTTTCGATCGTTACTCACCAAATTTTAATTAACTTTTACATTAAATTTTGTGTTCTTCCTAACATTCATTCCGAGTTACTATAATTGATACATATTATTGATATTAACGTGTACAAAACGTCGTTACGAGATCACATCGCAATAATTTTGTTGCACCAATGCGAAATGTGTTTTCTCGTATTTACCTGATAACGTTTTTTCGTCACGAGTGTTAAACAGAACGTGTTTTGTATTCTAAAGCGAAAGGCGCGATGCGCGTATGCGTTTACAGGAGTGGGGAATATCATTCGAAAACGTGTTTGTTCTAAAACGCAATAGAGAATCGTTTATAGAATACAAAGGCGAGAAACATTCAAAGATTGTTTCGCAGATAATTGAATCCTTACACTCTTGAATTTTAATACTCTGAGAAAATAATCCGTTCACGAATATGACGTTTGTCGCATCGAAATTATTTACAGATATTTGATTTCATCGTTAAGAGTAAGGGATTTTAATTTATACCATTAAAAAATGGATGTTACAGGATAAAGAGAAAACGCTTAGCGAGTTATACTTCATATTTGATCGTATTTTATAATCGAATAAAATTATTTACGATTTGAATTGTCCATAAAAATGTTCGAATAGTCCGAATAAAAATGATGTTTCATTTCTTAATATACGATAAAGGGTAACGTTCTTCTAAGAATTTTGATATCCTTCAATCAACATAACTTCGTAATTCGAACGTTTAAGATTCCGAAAGATTTCATGAGTGTATTAAGTTACAGACATATTATATATATAGACACTTTCGGTAAATATCATAAAATTCTAGAGATCCAAGAACGAGATAGATTCATTCAAGAGATCTATAAAATGACTATGATATCTACATTATATCATAAAACTCAGTTTCAGTACGATTTCGAAGATCTTTGTAGCTAACTGCGGTCGTTCATACGGAAACGAAACGTTCAAATATTTGTCGATGGTTGGAATAAAATTTCGGACGATATCGGTCAAGTCGAACAGCAAACGGGGAACAACAAGTCGAATCGTTTTCTACGTTCAATCACTGTGAAACTTGAGCATAACGGCCGATTTGAAATCATTCGCGGCATTTGGTATCGTTGAACAAAAGGTCGTTGCTTCGATTTTGAAGATGAGAAAAAGATTTGAGATTTGCAAGAAAGAGGAAAGGAAAACTAGGAAAAAGGAAAATGGAAAATATGAAAATATTTTTATATTGAGTTTAAATTGTAACGTTTTAGTAAAAAAAAAAAAAAAAAAAAACCAGGATAGAAATAGACTCACTTTGAGCTCGATGACGTGATACACGGTCGGTCCTCCTGAGGGGGACCAGCTCGTTGTCGTGAAAAGAAAAAGTTGTCGTCGAACTCGCTTTTTGATTCCCACGACGACCGACACACCGTTGTGGGCGCGCGCGCGCACGCACGACAATAAAAAGAACAAAATATCGCAATAACGAGTTCGTTTTTTCAACCCTCGATTGAGGGCTGCGATCGAGAACACATGACGATCATCGCCTTTGTCCAGGATCGTCTATGATCCTTTTCCCTTTCGTTTTCATAAGATATACACACGAAGAAATACGAACTAACTTGATTTTTTGACCTCGGACACAACGAATATACGTTAGCGAATGGTTCCTCGCGTATCCCAAACGTAGATATCCTTTCGAGGAAGCTCTTAAAGAGACGCAGGACGCACGACCTTCCTCGATCACTGCTTCAGGTACACTGTCACGTCACACCGCTGCACTCGCGGCCACGGCTAGCGCACGTACCCCGAAAACGTACTACACCACTCAGTTTTTCTTTTCTATCGTAATTTTTGTTAAATTTATCTCTTTTCGTCTCTTACTTCAAGTTTAACTTTCTTCCTCTAACACTCTCTCTCTCTCTCACTCTTTCTCTTTTTCTTTGTATTGTTTCACTCTATTTCCACCGTGTTGTATTATAAAGACTTTTTTTCGTCGGTGAACATCCTCAAAGTAAACCGTGTCACCTCTTCGAGATGAGAATGTAACAGCGACGGTAGCTCGTGTCGTCGATATCACCCCTGCACTCTTTACCTTTTCCTTTGGTTCACTCTTCTTTCACCGAGAGAGAAAAAAAGCAAGGAAGTACGATCACCCAGTTAAATCCTTCTCCCTAGATCCAAAAGCATCGATAATCCTACTGTTGATGTAAGATATCCACTTTTATTGTAACGAAGAAAAGGAAATTAGGAGGACAAAAGAATAAAAAAGGGAGGACGCGCGCACGTAACTACGCACGCATGCACGCACGCACGCACGCACGCGGCTAAATTTCAATAACGACGACGATGACGACGACGACAACGACGAAACCGATGACGATGACGGCTACAACGACGACTACTACGACGACAACGATGACGATGACGGTAACGGTGGCAGTGACAGTGTGACGGTGACGATGACAACGACAACGACAACGGCGGTGACAGCGGCGAGGGTGGCAACGGCGGCGGCGGTGGCGGCAAGTAGAAACCCTAAGAGAGAGGAGAGACCCTTAGGCCGGATCCGCCGAGTTTCCTTTAGCCTCAATTTTCGGTCCCCGCCACCCCCGCGTTGCACAGGCGCGAACCGCTTTCAGAATTTCCGAGGGTCGAGCGCCGCGCACGCTGGAGCGACGAGGAGGAGAGTGCCTGGGGGGAGCACGCGCGCGCAAGCATGAGAGAGAGAGAGAGAGAGAGAGAGAAAGGGAGAGAGAAATAGAAGTCGAGTGGAACCACCGCGGGGGGATGCGAAAGAGGTGGCTGTGGGGGTGTACTGGATCGAGGTCGTCACTGCTCTTTCTCTCCCTCTCTCTTCCCTTTACTCTCGCACACGTTCGGTGTAATTCGAGAGGACCAAGAAAACACAGCCTAAACTGCACTTAGAGCCGCCTCTATACGAGACTTGCATATCCTAATAGTCAATAAATTACTTTCCCAATTTTATTATTTCTATTAATCTCTGATTTCTATTTTGATATCTATTGTTTTCGTATTTTTTTTTCTTCCCTCTCGTTGTCGTATTATAATCCTTTTCTTCCGTATAGAAAGTTATATGTTGTCGTCTGTGCGACGAAAGGATCGTGGCTAGCACCGTGGCTGCTACTACTGTTGGCGCTGCCGCGCTGCGTGGCCCGACAATCTTCCCTTAGTGGGGGGTTTAATGGTGGGGAGGGTGGCGCAGGCGTTTTGCTGCACCAACGCATTGATCCCTGGAATTCGTGGGGACGACGACGATGACTACGACGACTACTACTACACAACGACGACTACGACGACGACGACAACAGCAACGACGATGACGACGACGAGGACCAAGCGCGTGTCCACCCTTGACAAGAGAAGAAGGAGGTAACGAGGGCTGCTGCTGGTAAAGGTGAGGTAGTGGGGAATTGTAGGAAAGGGAGTACCGACCCTCCCGAGCAGAGTCGTGTCTGCTACGAACCTTGAGTGTCGCCTACACCTGCGGATCGCCTAGCGACCACCCTCTTTTTACCACCTCCTTCCCTACCAAATCCTCTCTTTCTCTTTCTCTTTCTATTTCTCTTTCTATTTTTCTCTCCCTTTATTTCTCCCTTTCTTTCTTTTCCTCTCGCTTAAACGAGACGACACTCAGTCAGCCACGATCGAAGATCTCTACGACCGATCGAAGACTCGATCTCACAGATCACCTCCTTCCAAGTGCGCTGAGTAAAAGTAATCGTCGAAGAAGTCAAAAGGACGAATTCGTAGATCGTGCACCGCAAACTTTTCCACCGATCGTTTCTACCTTTTCTCTCTCTCTCTCTCTCTCTCTCTCTTTCTCTTCCTTTCTCTCTTTCTCGACGATTTTCTTTACGATTGTTATATTTTTCTTTTCTGTTTATCTATTTTTCTTTTCTGTTGTTTGGTGTTCAACACCTTCGATCGTTAAGCGAAAGACGACCGGCTGGCTTTCCGCTCGATACGAGATTGGATTTATTTGTTATATTCTTTAAATGGATAATGTATTTCGTTTTTCGATGTGAACCGTCGGCAGGGTGGGCTCTCCATTGTGACGAGATGAATGCCCAGGATGAAGAGCTACAGGAGGAACTAAGATAAACACAACAGATCGAGGGAACGAGTGTGCGTATATATGCATATGTGTGTATGTGTGTGGGTGTGGGTGTTTATATGTGTGTGGAAGAGAGAGAATGTGAAGATATAGGGCAAAAGGAGCGAGAGGGTTCGAATCCTTCGACGATCCCGAGTCACTTTTCTTCGAATAAGCGCTGCTCGAAAGAGTCCGAGCTATCGATGGAATTGAATCCTTTCCGTGTGATGCACGAGGACCATCGATTATTTTATCGGTCGAATCGCTGGGGGTAAGTTTCCTCCCGAAAGTCGATTCGAAGTCGGCCTACATATCCGCGTTTACCGCGAAATGCGAATAAAAAGGAGGTTTACGATCGAAAGGAAAAGGTAAAGAAGGATAGAAAGAAAAAAAGGATCCTTTCTTTCCCTTTTACTTCTCTCTCGCTCACTCTCTCTCTCTCTCTCTCCACTCCTTAATTTCGATGTTTTTCGTATGAATGAAATTGTCTTATCATTTTAATTCTTATTTATTTCGATAAATATTAGATGAAAATTACCAGTAATTTTGTTTTAAAAAAGATATTACCAACGTACGATAAAATTAGCGAGAATGAATGTACCTTGAAATAAAGGGAAAATTAAAAATCAAATAAGACAAAATATTTTTGATAATATAATGAAAATCTTTTATCTCTCGATTCGACGCGTACTAGTTAAACAGGAACAATCGAAATTCTCTCTGGTAATAAGTATTAATTAATTAGGAAAGTACGTCTATAAGTCAGACGGTGAAAGACCTATTTAACTTTTGCGAATACTTAGGGAATCCGATTTTCTCTCCGAGCTCTTCTTCTTCTTCTTCTTCTTCTTCTTCGACTTTTTCTATTTTTCCTATTGCTCGTGAGAAAGACCAGAAACGATCGACCTATTCCTGATTTTACGATCGGAAGAAAATAACGTTGGATCGAACGAACGCGCAGAAAGAAAGAGAGAGAGAGAGAGAGAGAGAGAGAGAGGGAGAAAGAAAATGAGAAAGAGAAAGAGAGTGACGTTGCTCTTTCGTAAAATATTCGCGAAGTCGGCGCCGCATGGATATGTACTAATGCTGAATAAGTAACGAAGAAGACGAGCGCCCGATTTCTATCGGCTCGTAAAAAATCCACATCTTCTTACGTCCCTTTTTCTATCTTTTATATTTCTTGTAAAAAAAAATATTTTCTGTAGTTTTAGGAATGGCAGACCGGACAGCACGATCGGACGCGTATAGAGACGCTCGTGCAAGAGGAAAGTAACGATTGGACTATCTATCTTTTGGAAAAAGAAAGATAGTAGGTGAGAAAAAGATTTAAAGAGAGAAATAGTCGTTGGGAAGAGGGTGGGTGGGGGTTAGGGGTAAGGGTAGGAAAGGAATAAAATAGATAAAGAAAGCGCGATGAAGACGAGATCGTTTGCGGAGAACAAATCGTTTCCGAGCGTGAAATCCTTCGTGTTTTCGTAAAGATTGTTAGATATATAGGGGAGGAGAACGGTTGGCCTTCGTCGATACAAAGCAGAAAGGATAGGGTAGAGTAACGCGACCCTTCGTTAGCCGCGTCCGATTCCTTCTGTGTAACAATTCGCGTTCGTCTTCTCATTCGTGTGAAGAAAATAGAAGGTGAGATAATACAACTTCTCTTCAAAGCTTCTCTTTCATTTATTCTCTATCTCCTTTTCTATTTCTTTTCTTTTCTTTTCTTTTCTTTTCTTTTCTTTTCTTTTCTTTTCTTTAAAGAATTATCGTGTTTTGCCACAAAAATTTCGTGTCTCCGATGTCATGTAATTAAATCGATTTGTAAAAATAAACAACGATAAGATTATCTTATTTACTTATTTACATGAAAAAAAAACTCTCTCGAAAACAAGATCATAGAATTTACGATAATGTGAATCAGTAAAATTGAAGAAAAGATAGGAAAAGGAGAAAGAAGTTTGCACGCGTATAATAGGTAACAAATAATTCATGGTTACCTTTCTATCCACTCATCTACCTACCTATCTATTTACCTCGTAATTTATCGTTCGTGTTCGTTTGATCGATGACACCAATTTTGGACCGTTGAAAATTATACGCTTACGTAAATGATACACGTTTAATGCGACGTAACTCCCTATTTATCGTCGAGTGGATTACTTTCAATAGAACAGATTATCCCTGAATTTGTTCGACCCCATTTTAACATCGAAACTAAACGTGTCGGTTTGTTTCTAAAAGAATAAAAGAAAGAAATTGAATGAGATTCTCGCAAACAACCTTTCCTCCCATACCCACCCACCCCCGTTCCCATCGCTTCACTCTTTCCTTCTCTTTCTTTTTCTCACTCTCTCTATCTCTCGTGTGTATTTACGATATTGAATTCAATTCCAATATCAAAAACATAAACTTCATTAACTTCTCGTATCGTAAAATACATATCAGTTTGTTATATCTTTATAATATTTAACATATATTCCACATTTCGTGTTATAATCGCATAATGTCTCGCATCTCTCGTATTACCATAAGGTATTTAGCCATTTTTTCTACATAAACATTTTACTTATACTTTTTTAATCAGAATGTAAATAAACCGAGATCCCTCTTTCGTTGAATTTATTTCATTTTTGGTGTGAACAAGAAAAGTGCGTGTCGTTGGGTATTACTTTTATTTTATTTTATTATTATTATTATTATTATTATTATTATTATTACTATTGCCATAACTATAACTATGACTATTATTATTATCATTTTTATCGTTACATCGAATGGAAAGACTCACAGGTGTCGTTACAGTAACCAATGAGGACGAAGCTTGTGCAAACATCGATGTGCGTTATACGTGTCCCTTGCTCTTCGTAGCTCGTTACTCGCAATAACCTTTCATGTTTGAAACGAGTTGACGCAAGGCACTTCCTTAGAACGTTAAAAATTTCAACATTACCAGGAGAAACGGCGACATCATTATCTCGAAATCGTTTAACGCGTCGTTACTCTTTTGAGGAAAATTGAAAGTATTTTTTTTTCTTTTTTTTTTTTTTTCAACTTATCACAAATTCTTCTTAAGATAATAATCCTTCAAAACGTTAAAATCCAAAATTCTGAAGAATTTAATAGTTAAAAATAAAATGAAAAAAAAAAAAAAGAAGAAATAAAAGAAAGAAAGGAAAATGTGTAAGGTAAGAATATTTTGAAA